CAAGTAATAGTTATTCTACTTTTGTCCACTAGGGACTGAACTAAGATCACTGTTACTTTATTTGACGCTTCAACTTCAACTGGGTAGTGTAGAGATTCCAAACTTGAAAGTGCAGTGAATCTTTTGCTGCTACAGGTGAAATAACAACAGGTAAGCAGGAGAAGAGAATGCAAACAAAATCTTGCAGACTTTTGATAATTGCAGCTTAATAGTCAAGCATTACTCATAGGAATAGTTTATAATAGGTCCATTTTTGTCTCTGGTTAGTTTATTTTCATAGTAAACAAATAAATTTGGAGAAATATCTTGTTATTCTCAGTATACCAATCATGTAGTATTTAAGATAATTCAATCATGGTAAATTAGTTTGGATTTTTTTTAGGGGAATAGGAAAGAAAGTTGGTCCCAAATTGCCCCCAGAATGTAGTATTTCATTTGCTTAAAACATACAATAAAATGGTGATTCAAACATAATGATGCATATTGTTTTGTTGCCATGCAACTATTCAGCTGTGACAGTAAACACATAATTCTGCTGGGTTTAAATCATGTACACATTTCATATGTTAATTTACTTTTCGAAATAAAGTTGATCCTTGTTTGCATTGTTCTTGGTCAATGATTATGGCACAGCTTTCAGACCCTAGCCAAGCATACTTCTGAAATGCTCTTTGGTTATGCAAGGTTTGGAAGAGTGAGTCCAGTTACTGTCTGCCTCTCCCTCCTGGGCGTGATCACAGCAATTGGGCTAGCTATTGTCCCTGCAAATTTGCATATCTTTTGTCTTTGTTAATATGATTGATCAGAAGATCAAGTGACCAAACAAATTCATTCACCAAAGAACCTGCTAAAGACTGTTTCCCTTAATGAGAAATTTTCTTCACTCCAACTTCTATTATGTCTTATATTTTTTTGTCTTTCACGTGGGTACTTTCTGACCATAGCCATCTGCTGTACTTGATACTGCAACCTGGACCACCTCTATTTTGATTCTACTGCACGTAGCTGCCTTAGGGTAAGAAGCAAGCACCTCAGAAACTGAAGCGATCAGTGCATGAGTGGAAATTCACCCATTTATTCTGCTAAATCATTAATCAAACCAAACACGGTGATTATCATGCAGCTCATGTCACCACTGTCAGGAGTTTCTGATGCAGAATAAATGTGCACTGTCAATGCTAGGTGAAGCTAGATGATAATTTATGCTAATCTAGCTCTGTTTTAATTTTTATTTTTATCAGTACATGTTTGGGGTGCGTAATGACCACATTCATTGTGGGGAGCCGGCACATGGACAAGACGCATCTTAGTTCTATTTTCATTCCTTTCCCACCCCTCTCTTCCTGGCCTCGTTTTCCCTGTCAGTCCTCTTCTCATTGAAGAGAACTCATGCAATCTTTAAGCCTGAATACTGGTAAAATAAGTATTTAAAAATAGTTTTCTTAAGACACTAGCTGTCTCTAGAAATCACTTTATGAGATGCTCTCAAATTTCATCAACTTTTTGGTCTTGCAGCTGAACAGGCTGAGAAAAAAATTATCCAAAGAGGCCAATGATTTACTGGTCACCTGGAGAAATGGCGCTGTTAAGACAATGATCTTGACATGGATTTATTTCAAGATCAACGATCTGTGTGGCTTGTAGGTTAGCATGAGGTGGGGAGAGAGTGTTCTCCTGCTTGTCAGACAGGGAAGAGAAGTACAGTTAACGTGTCCAGCCTCAGATTTATTGGGTGAGGCAGTTGGGTGTGTGTCTGCGTCTGACTCTCTTCTGTGGTATCACATTTTTCAGAATTACTAGCAACATGGTCACAATAAACAGCCTTTGTGTCTTTCCACTTCGTAAGGATCCTTCCTCACCTTCCTAAGATAGAGCAATGTATGGACCAGTGTCTACATCCTGTGGTTTCCTTTGTCCCATACTTTGAAAGTTTACAAAGAAGATGCATGTTTAAAACATAGTGTTCTAGCATTTGGGAAATCTTGGAGACTTTGTTTTGCTGGCTGGTGGCTGTGCAGTCAGTAGCCAGAGAGGATGCTCTTGTATTTTTATTTACCCCTGTGGAAGGCTTCCAAAACGTAACAATCAATAAGTATTTTTTAATCATTTGTCTCTAAACTTGAAGACAGTGTGTGTGTATGATTTATGCAAAGGTCGGCACCGAAGGCCATTTCCAGTAAAGGTCAGTAGGAGCCAATTCTTTTAAATCAAGTTGTAGAAATGTCCCTGCGACCTCATATGAATATGAGACTCCTGATCTTCGAGGGAGGGAGGAACCGTTCAGCTCTGTGCTAAGTTTTCAGTCAATAGGGTTTACTGCTTGCTTGTTCCATTTTAGAATCAGAAGAGCCAAGAAGGAATAAAGCTTTGGGCCACTTGCAGGCCAGGGCAAGTTCCTCCCTGACCAGCTCCCCTGGCGAGGATGGCTTTCAAGGCCCAGGCAAGGGGTCCTTTCCTGTGGGTGACAGCTGCCCTTGCCTTCTTTACCCTCCCTGGTCCCTTGTCTCAGGCGCCTTCAACCCCTATGGTTCAGCGCCATTCAGAGTGAACAAGGCCTTCAAATTCTGCTGCAGTTTCACGTTGCAGGAGGATGATTAGGCCCTGACCATGCAGCTCCAGGGCCAGCCCTCCCCTCCTGGCATCCACCCTGCCCCCAAGAGAGGCTTCTCAGAGGCTCAGACAGGAGCAGCAGCACTGCTTTTCCCACCCTTTCCCTGCAGACAGGCCCTTTTCCTTTCCTGCTCTGCCCTGCGGTTCTGCCTGTGTCTTCCCTCCAGTCTCCTGCAAAGCGCTCTCTGAGCCCCATCTGCCACTGCCCGGGTCTGCTGTGTCCTGCTGTTAGTTCTTCATGGGAAGCTGCTGTGTGGTGTCCCCTGCACACTGCTGCTGTCCCTTCCCAAGGACTTCACTCCCCAGCCAGCCACAATTGCCTGCGCTTCTCCCAGACTGAGTGCTACAAGGCAGACGGTCCTGCAATGCTCTCCAACTTTGATTTACTCTGTTATTTGTTCTCTGTAGTGGTGAATTGACTTTTAGAAAGATGCTCAGAACTTAGCAGGCAGAGGATGCAGGAAGCCCCCTGAGTTTGTGAGCTCCAAATCCAGATTCAGCCAGTTTCAGACCAAAAAATATTTTTAAAAATTGTGTCTCTAATGAAACACATACAGACTTCTCTGTCATTTTTCCTTGAACAGTGGTATGACACTATTTACATTATGCTGGAATGATCATCTAGAACTGATCGGAAGTGTTTAGGGGCACACACCAGCTGCTTACGTAGGAATGCGGGCATCTGGGCATCCCAGTGTTCCAGGTCTGCAGGAGCCCTGGAACCAGGCCCCTGGGGTCCCAAGATAGGATGGCACCTTTTCTTAATTGAGTGGAGAGAAATGAATGAATTCCACAAGCAGCTTTGAACTAAAATTAAATATATGAGAAATTGAGTTTCAACTCTCTTTCATATGTTACTCTGGCTATGCAATATGGGAAAATTTTGTTAATATTCCAAGTTTCTATCCTTTATATCAAGAGTCAGCAGATTGTACTTCGTGGCTCCGTGGGCCTCTGTTTATAATTAAATACTGAGTGCTGACTGGACCCTCAGCTACCTTTTGCGGGGAACAGTGAGGAATAAAAAGACAGTTTTCAGGACATGGGGGATGGGGAGGAACTCTGCCTCCAGTGGACAGACTCCAATAAAACCCCCCCGTTGGCCCACTTTTATTACCCAGTGAGGCGCAGGTGACGGGGGCAGCACGTGTTCCTTGGAACAACAACTACAGAGCCTGGGTGGATAAGGATTAAACTGGTGAGGAGTCAGATTTTCTCTACACCCGAATGCCTGTGTGTGGACAGCTGGCCTCAGAGATGCTGTTTTGCCTCAGGGTGCCAGGTAAGGCATTCTGCCCATAGCCAGAGGGCGTGTGGCCTTCCCCGTACTTCCTGCTCCCTGTTCCTGAGGCAGGATAGCACCAACCTGGAGGCTGCGAGATCTGAGATATGAGGCCTGGTCCCCAACAATAAAGTTTTATTAGAATAGAGCCACATCCATTCACGTCTAGGACTGCTTTTCTCCTGCAGCTACACCGCTGAGAAGCTGTGACAGATAAGTGGCCTATAGAGCCTAGAATATTTCATATCTGGCCCTTTTCAGGAAGGCTTTCTGAGCCCTGGTGTATGTCCCAAGAGGAGTGGGTATTGATGTGGAGGCCATTTCAGGGTAAACTGAGGCTGGTTGCTGGAAAAGCCCTGCCCTCCTGAAAGCCCTGGCAGAGCCTCTCTTTGGCTAGTGTCTAGGGGTACAGGCAAGAGGGAGCTATGGCTTTTCTTTCCCTCCACCTCATCAAGTGCACAGGGAAGAGTTCCAAGCAGCTGCGTGTTGGGAAGGGAACGCTCCTGAGAGAGCCGTGCCGAGGCGCTGGCCCCAGGTGCCAGGGAGACCCAGCTCGGAAGCCTCCTTCTGTCTCAGAGGCCGACCTGCAGCTGGGCCCTCACAGGGCGTCAGCCTCTTTTCTCCCCTGTCATTTGTGTCGGGTTCACCCTTTAGGGAGGAGGCCTTGGTCTCTGAAGGTGATGCGGGCAGAGCCACAGCGGGCTGCGAGGCTGGGGCACTGCAGAGCCTTCAGCCCTCGCGGTCTTTGCTGGTTTAGGAAGTCTTACTTCCATCTGGCCTCTCCTCTGTGTGGGCGCTTGGCAGCTGCTCCCGGGCTGGTCTTCTTCCTTTCCTTTTGTTAATACTGCAGGCTGTTGGTGTCATTTGCTATTCGTTAATTGCATTCTGAGTCATCCTTGACTTTTGTTCCAGTACAAGATTATCTTGTGCAGCAAAGTTGGGAAATTCCAAAGCCACTTTGGTTTTGGCCCCATGGCCGGAGGGAGGCAGGGCAGCCTCTTAGTGCGTAAAGCTTTTGTGTACAAACGACATGGCCTCTGCTATCAAAGAGGTCTGCAGAGAACGAACCTCTGCAGAATTTGGAGGCTATTTACATGTCTGGTGTGCGCCCAGTATGCTGCTCTCATTCTTATGTACAATAGCAGGGCTGGGAAGTTCTCGACCCCAGGCTCTTTGGTCCCAGTGGTTGCCTCGATGTCTGTGCTTCTCCCTCCAGTAGCAAAGCCAGATGCGGCCTGCTGGGGCTGATGATGCCGCCGACACTGCCGGAAGGCTGTGCAGATCTTTCCTTTGGTCAGTGAGTATTCAAAGACGTGAAGCAAGGTGGAGGTTACTTGCTTGTAACTCGGTACTCAGCTGTGCGGGCCACCGATTACCAGCCTCATTACAGCTGATGAACCGACGGGCTCACGGGCTCCGAATCTAGCATGTGTCTGACGGCGGCCGGCAGGGGACTGCAGATAACAACACGCGGCCATGTGGAATCGTTCCTGAAGGGACCCGTGAGCCCAGGCGCCCCGGGGCCCAGGAGGTCCACCGTCAGTTTCCAGGGATATCTGAGGGTGAGTCTGGGAGATGGTGGATTTCGCAGCTCAAGGATGTGTGTAGCCCCATACACTGGGAAGGGCACACTACAGAGCCTTGGTTTTGTTCCTGAAAGTTGACTGAGTTAAATTTCTGGGCCCTAAAAATTATTGGAGATTTTCCACTTCTGGAGAACCAGTAAGTCCTTTGAAATCCTGGTTACATTTCTTCTTAAAGCCCTTGGAGATGGTTGCAGAACTTTGTGAGACATCCTGATTTGGCCCTGGTCTTGCTTCCTCCCTCCCTGTTCTTGCCTTCTTTGCTTTGGTACCTGCGACACCCAGACCAGTAAGGCAGAGAGGAGAGGCAGGCAACCTCCGTGCGGGGCAGACCACAGGCTCAGAGGAGTGCCCCATCTCCCTCTTCCTCTCCCTCTGTCCTGCACCTGCTGTCCCCGATGCGGGGACTGGGAAGAAGGGGGTAAGAAGGGTCCTGGAGAGGGGAGCCTGGTGGTGTCCTGTCCCTGGGGCAGGGCGGTGAGGCCACGGGACTGTGCCGGCTTGCTTCATGGCAGTGGCTGTGAGTTCGGTCACAGACTGCAGGGCACAGGCAGGGTCATGGGGCTTGGCACACAGCCATCAACAAGGACAGGCAGCTGTTGAGCCGGGCAGCTGGGCAGATGTGCCCCACCCTCAGGGAGGTCCACAGGGATGGAACCTCCACAGCCCGCTGTGGAGAAACCAAAGCCACCGACGTGGGCAGACATGAAAGCCAGTGTGTTGCCATGTACCTGTCCCTACAGCAGTTGCAAAGACTGTCCCAGCAGGGCGCTGTGCTGTGCCCAGAGCCAGGTGGCCTGGCGTGGATCTGCAGGACTCCTTCTTTGCCGGGCCGCCTGGGGCAAATCCTCAGCTCTGTCATGGGTCAAACTGAAGCAGTGACAGCACGCCCATCATGCGGTGGTTGCTAATGATAGGAAAAATCGATTTTCAGTGAAACGAAGAAAAACTCACAAGGGTTACTTTGTGCAAGTTATGTGGCACAGAGATAGTTAGGTAACAGTAGTCATTCCTAGGGCAAGTTCCAGGAAAGGTGTGGGTCAGCCGACTGTCAGACCCCTGGAAGAAGTGTGTGCAGCAGCCAGGAGGAGGCGGGCAGAGTAGAACTGGCCCACTTGGCACATGAAGGAGCAGAGGCAGAGAGGAAGTCATGGTGGCCGCATTGTGGGGTGAGCAGTCTGGCTGGTGACTTGCGCTCTTCTCTGGCCCTGGGATAGGACACAGCAGCATCCCCTGTCGCGTCTGATGAGCGCTTGAGCTGCTCACTCTGTTCCTACTAAGACTGAACGAGGGCCCCTCGGCCCGGGCTCTGACCACCGCTCACCCAGCCTGCTCTGAAGCTGGGCTGAGCTGGCGGCGGCACACAGGTTGTGCACCTTCTCTCCTCCCTGCCGGTCTGGCGACAGTGCCCTCCAGCCTGCGTCTGTGGAAGCGTCTTCTCCTAGGTACAGACCTCCCCTGGGGCTGCTTATCTGAAGGCGTCCGCACCCAGGAGGCAGACGCCTCCTGAGTGTGTCCCATTCGGCGGCTCTCTCGGGCAGCTCCGCCTGGAAAAGCGCAGCGCGTTCTGGAATTTCACACGTCATTTGTGTGCATTCTGTGGGTCACCGGGGTCTGTAGAACTAAGAAGGGAAGCCTGATTTCTCAGGTGTCGCCCTTGATTTCACTTCCTGTCCTACTTGCCGCGGTCCCCATTACTTCAGGCATTGCTGGCATTTCTGTCAAAGGCCAGGCACACCGCTCCTTGCCGTCGGTGCTGACCATTCCTCCTCTCTGGTCTCTGCTCCTGGGGGCTGGGCCGGGGCTGCTTGCATGTTAGTTGCCGGGTGTTCCGCCGTGTGGAGAGCTTCGGGTGCCAGGTCCTCCTCTGCCCGCTCTTCCGGGGGTTCCCAAGCGGTGGGGACAGCACAGGCTGGGCAGTGCGCTCGTTTCACCACTCTGGCACGGTGGGGCTGAGGACACGCGCCGGCGGGCCCCACAGCTGGCGTGACCACCTACTCCATAGGGGAGAGTGAGTGAGTGTGTGCTGCGGTGTGCACGGCCCTCAGGCAGCTGTGTGGGCGCTGCCACCAGGGACGGGGACCCTCTCCCTGGCAGGAGGCTGGGAGTCAGGGCATCCACCTTTTCAGTTTGACAGCTCCTGTTGCCATCCCTGTGTTTGCAGTTTTTCTGTTCTTTCCTCCACGTGCTGGCTATGTGCCCCCTCTCCAGAGATGCTAGTGCTGGCTGAAGTGACCACCCTGGTGGGTTGGGCACCTGGTACTGGTGGACACAGTGTCTCTGCAGAGGGCCATGGATGCGCCTGTCCGGCCAGTGGAGAATGAACATCACAGGAGAGGTGACTGGCAATGAGCAAGAGGCCAGTAACTCTGTCTTGGGAGCAGCACCTTCTGCCCAGCAGACCCGCACGTGCATTTCACAGACCACTGTGTTACCAAATCCATCTGAGTGTCAGGCACTGAGGCCCAGAGGAGCCAGTGATGTTTGAAGTTTCCCCAGGGCGGATGTGGAGTGGGAATCCGGTCTCTCAGAAGCGAGATCCGAAGCTCTCACCCTTCTTGCCTCTTTGGCTTTTTCATTTATGAAGCAAAATTAATTCTTCATGGCAGGGTGGGGATGAGGGGTAGAGAAGAGGTTCAGCGGAGCAAGGATGCCTTCCTGTAAATTCCTGGAAAATGGTTCCCGAAAAATGACCTTCTTTAGCAATCAAAGCACTGTATCACCCATGTATGTGAAGAAGACTGTGGGAGGGCTGCTGCCCTTGGGAGAATTGCTTCCTAGCACCCTGCCTGTCCCTGGAAGGGTTTTCCTTTTGAATTGCAAAAATATGTCAGAGGCAAATAACTCATTTCTATTTTTTCAAACAAACGAGTTCCTTAGACAAATTACCTCAAGTTAGAGTTGACATAAGCATATAAATGAAGATAATATTTTAAGCTATTTTATCTCCATTTTTACTCAAAAACACTACATTATAGTACTGGTTATATTTCTTTCACCTGAAGGCCAAATAGGGATAAAATATACCCACTGGCCAAGTTCCTTTAATATTTTAGCATGAAGGAATTGGGGTGCTGTTTGGTTTGAGGGGTGACATTACTATTTATAGCCTGTAAAATGACCATATGCTTTATGTGTTTTGATTTTTTTTAACTTCTTCAGTGTGTAAAAGTAATCCTTGTTCTCGGGTTCATGTTTGGAGAAAAGAACAGAAAATTAAGACTTCTGAAGTGAAACTGTTGGTATCTCCTCCTGACAGCCAAGATAAACTAATGAATCTAAGAGACCTGGGTTCAAATGAATGATTACAGCTGACAGCAGAAGTGGAAATCCCACATGTGGCCTTGAATGAAGACAGCTCCTGAGTATACAGGAGAGCTAAGAAGTCTTCCGTCAGGGAGCAAGGGTGACTCATTTTGTTAGCGTTGTTCAGTATGGGATAAAAACCTTCAAACTTCGATTTCACAAATCACTCTCTGCAGTTTGCAGGGCAGAAGGTTACTGTGGAAATGAATTGTCCCAAGCATAAATTATCCCTCTGAATAAACACCTTCTCTGTCGTTATCCTGCTAGTTTGAAATGACTTCTGTTGGATCTACTTTTGAAAATCATGGCTGAAAAGGTGATAGAGACCTCTAAAATATTCACTTACACTATGCAAGTATATTATAAGACTATCTCTGTCTCAAATAATTGACCAGGTACATTCAGAGCCTCTTTTCTGTGCAGCACGAAATGTGCCTCTGACAGCGAGGCTGTTTCTCTGGCCTCCTCCAATTTCCGGTCACTTGAGAATCCAGGGCCAGAGGCGACTGGCCCATCGGCACCCATGTGGGTAAGGAAGAGTCTTTGAGGAAGGCAGAGTATGAAAAATTACAGTGTTTAAAATTTAGAACTAAAGAAATTCTACCACATTTGAGCACTGTAATTACACAAATAAAGTCAGTTTAAAAATTTAATAGGGTAGAAAAAGTGTGAGGAAAACAGGTGGAGCCCAGAACTAGAGGGTAAGTGGGCTTGGAACCTGGAAGGCTGCCATAGCTCCTGCTGTGCCTCATGCCAGCCTCTCTCTGGAACCCCTGGCCCAAGGCTGCTGGTCACAGCAATGCAGTTTCATCTCGTGCATACCAACCCTGACCCCGCAGCTGAGCTCCTGGTAGAAGTCACTCTGGGCTGCCACAGTCACACAGAAGAGCCACATGGAGAGGTGTGCTGGCTGGTGTGTCACGTTCGTCAGTGAGCCTCGCAGCGCCCCAGTCCCCACCACAGATTCCCCCAGATTCAGAGAGGAGCCCTGGACATGGTGGGGCAGAAGCAACGCATTCCTTTGTACTGGCTCAGAAACGTGGACATGTGGGGTTTGAGCCCATGAGTGTGTTTAGACCCGGGCCCTCGAGGAGGAGGCGGAAGGGTCCCCATCAGTAGGCCCCGGCCGCCACTCTGCTCCTGCTCAAAGGCCCGGGTCCATGGACACAAGCCCTGCCCTCCTGACCTCACCTGAGCGACGTGGACAGATGCCACAAAGTGGCTCTTAGACCGACATTTGGTGGCCTCTGCTCTTAGTGTCACATAAATCTAGTAATGTCACGTAATCTGCTCGGTGTCACATAAGTCTAGTAACGTTCATAGAGGTGACTTGAAGACTGCATATATCTTCGTGCCCCTTGGAATAAAATTGTCAGTAAAGATCATTCTGCCTTCCAAGCAGCATTTGTGAGAGGTCTAGGAGACGACCAAACCATGCAGCAGGCCAGAATTCCTGATTACCAAAGTGATACACGAATGAACCATACTGCCCACATTGTTCTGACTCTTTTGCTCATTTAAAAATTGTTGGGGCTGGGGATTTAGCTCAGCAGTTCGGTGGCCTGCCTTGCAAGCACAAGGACCCGAGTTCAATCCCCAGTACCAAAAATAAATAAATAAATAAATAAATAAATAAATAAATAAATAAAAGAGTTGTAAACACCCTAGAGAAT